AAAACTCATCCCTGGCTTACCCATCCATCTTATTGTGGACTTATCGAGAACCCTTTGGATTCGGGTTTTGAAGATTTTGACACATACATGATGAGGTCATTAGCAACAGCATTGTGAGAAAATGTCATGGTTTCTCAATGTAATTCTGGCACAGCTTCTCCAGCATGTCTCCGCCCACCATCGTTAAGCACCACTTGCAGGCAGACGGCGTCATTGAATCATCTAATGTTACATTACTTACACAAATAATTCAAATGATGCTGCTCCAGATGCTGTACACAGGAAGCTGCACCGTTACAGGAGCGGTGCCATAAATTCTGCCATGACTCATCCTATATTTGCAGGGCGTGATGAGGCAACGGAGGAGAAGCTAAGGGAGTCGACCGTACATTGACACCGAGTCTCCGGTCCATCTGCTACGGCGACGTATCGTCGTACACGGATCATCATCATGTCCCTGCTTCATTCTACCCTACCTGTACATTTACCTTATGATGCTTCCCTATTGTAGTTCCATGGTAGTGATATGCTTCACTATGTGTCGTTTATGCTTGTTATGTTATGTGTCTTACTATGATTCTTCATCGCGACATGCCTTTGATGTCACAGGGTACACCTCAATGATCGGAAGATGTTCGGATAGATCCAAGAACATGCTGCTTTGACGACGCGCTCTTACTTACTATACTAACCACTATGTGAGTATGCATCGTCCCTCAATCTCAACGGGTTCAAAGAACCAGGGTTGTCCAGGAAAATGGAAACACTAACTTGTTTTTGGACACTCTTTCAGTATAAGGTGTCTAAATACAAGGCCCCTCCCTCATTTTCCCTATTAACACCGGACGAAAAATGAGTTGTTCAGGTGGCCCACCCTTGCAACATCTCACTCTCTTTCACACCCATAGTTGATATCGTCGCAATCCCATAGGGCAGTGTCAATAGGCGTAGAGTTACTCGTCCGCGACTGCATTTTTTAGCAATAGTTGCCGTTACCCCGTGTTGACAGGTAGAAAACAATTAATGGTAATATCAGCAGTGAGCGTGATCATTCCGCGCCCTCTAACACTGCCCGTTAGCGTTTGAAGTGTGTAGAGGGGTATTTTTGCCCTCACATCCTCAACAAATATCATGTCCAAGTGTAGATAACTACAGACTACAACTATAGACGCACGTCACGACACGCTTTATCAATCCCTTCCCGTCGCGTTTCAGCCTAAAGTCATCCCTAGCATATATGTGTAGCCGTTTTCATTGGATACGCCCAAGGCGTGTCAGAGCACTGGGTTTGGCACGACGCCGACCAGCTTGTTTCCGACCTATCGGCTTGCCACCTCACAGCAGTAGTGGCGCCGCGCGCAAACCCAGCCCTACATCCCCCCCCCCCCCCCCCATTGCAAGGGAAAACGCGAAACACAAGACGCTACCGCTTGATCACCCCCTCAACCTAGCTTGTATTCTGCACTGGTGATCATGAATCAGGTTTGAAGGAGGCTTTTAGCGCGGCGGTCTTGCCATATTATCATGTAATGAGCCACCTATAACAACTGCACTTCTGTTCCTGTAGCTCTTATTACTACGAATTGTGATCGAGTGATGCTTTCAAAACACCCTGCTTTACTTTTTTACATTGCACTAGTACCCTACCAGCGCCATGTCGAACATCACTCTCATTTAGTGATTATAAAATATTTTATTATTCATCGTGCATTTCTGAACAGATTCGAGTAGGCATCTCCCTCCCTTCGAAGCTCAACAATTTTCAACAACTGCAAGACTGCAAAATTTGTCTCAACTATAACCATTTCAAGCAATGAAACAATCCACATTGATGCGCAAAAAAACAAAAACATGCCGCCCACGCGACACATGAGCCGACATTTCTAATAAAAATCCGACAACACAACAAGTAACAATTACAGCAACAATGAAATACACATTAAATAACACGACTTCCTTTTACTACTTCCGCCACAGCTCGTTTCTCCACAAACTTTTTCTGTAACCAAAATATCATCATTACATGGCCATTGTGACGCTGTATTATACACAGCGCGTCGGAAAAAAAATTAAAGATTGGAGCAAGTAACTCCCGCGTTCATACTTGGCGACACGAGCGATTCTGTCTTACGACGCGACTAACTGCGCTCCACTGCCAACCGCTGCAATGTTCGAAATAAGCTTGATCCTGGCTTTGACCAAATTATCAGTTGCAGCGATTCAGCTATTCAATCATGGAACCCGACCAGTTGCAATTCCTCGGATGGTCGAGTCGCGAAGTATGAACGCAACCTGTCGTATATAAATGTAGATAGCTATCTTTCACCTTCAACTTCGTCTTCAGCTTCCTCTTGTTTCGATCCCCTCCAATTGGTAACATGTTCCTCTTTTGTAAACTTGCCATACGTTCATTCAAGCACATGCCCTTGCGGCTTCAACAATCGAAGAGAGTCCGTCAGTTCCTCCTGAACTTATTTTGCGGGTAACCACGTCCTTCGTACATAAAGAAACAAAAAAAATGGTCAAAGCAACGCACTTGTAGAAGAAATGGCTCTTCATAGTCCTTGAACTCTCCACGCCCTAGGCGCTGCCTTGTCGTCATCTATAAAATTAAAGAAAGGATTCCATATACAAGTAAACAGAAGAACCTAATGCACGACTGGTACCTTTTCCAGGAATTTTTCCTTCTTTCGCTTTGCGGATTTTTCGATAGATTCCTTCTCGGCGCTTTCCAGTGCCTTGTTAATGTTCTTAGCTCTGAAAAAATCGTATTCCCAAAACAATGTACGGGAAACGTTCTGAAAATGGGACTCAATGTGGGCTAAGGGAAGAATGTACGGCAACTCAAGTCAAACTAAAGCTACATTGCTGCGCGACCTTAGAAAAGAAATTTAAAGGACAAGCTACGTCCGTAGTTACAGTAGCACCCTATACACCGCTCGCTGAAGGACTCCGTCCGCGCTGACGCACTGCCAGCCGCACGCCTAACTATAACCAGACAAGCAACTTGTCTGTGCCATCTCACTTGTGGTTGTTCAACAACTCTGACTGCGTGATCGCTGCAGGATTTTGGTATCAAAGCAGGAGCTACGCCTGGAGGTTGCACGTGCGAAGTCAGGGAACGTCGCTCGGGGATCATTACCCTAGCCGCGTTCCCATACACTCTGAGCAGAGAAACGCTACTGCAACTGTGGGACCATTCGCCCCCCCCCCCAAATGAAAAGGACCGTCGTCGCAGGTGAGTGAACATGTCTTAAACGTTGTGAAGTAGCAGGGTAAGTGAGCACATGAACCATACCTGTATACGTCATGTTGTGCTTTTTCTAGAGCCTTTCGCCGCTTGTGTTCACGCTGAAGTTTCTTCTCTTTGGCTGCGTTTGCCTTTTGTTTCCGCGTTTTCCGTTGAAGATGAGATATTGATATTTTCTCAGCTGAACAATCGAAATCAATGGAAAGAGATTTTAGTGCAGTGCTTATCAAAGTTCAAAGCAGTCAATGGCATCACTACCATCATATTGCAGAGTCAAAGTCGGTGAAGCACGCTCCGCATCATTGGATGTTCAGACGCTTTCTTTGGACAAGGTAGTCCTGCCCGCATACGTGAAGGATGTGTGACATTCGCAGCTTAAAAATATAGGAGGAAAGCGCGACCTGCTCACGGGAAGGCCACCGCTTCGCCCATTGCACCGAACTTTCACTTCTAAAGATGTCTTGCTGATGCACTGTTCCGCTGCTAGCTCCTCCACTTATCGTTAGAATGGTGAGAGTGAGATGATGAGTAGAGAAAGCTCATCCCAACAGAAGTGAATTGCTCCAATCACGCCCTTTCTTCCACCTTACGTATATACGCGGGCTCTTAGCGCTTTTTTCTTCACTCTTGCATGATTATCCATCTTGCCTTCACCATTTAAGCCGCACAAATCACCACTTTGAACCCGTGGCGGGCCATGTTTCAAATCCAGTGCTCATGTTTTACACTGTTTCGTTGGAGACAGCCTTATGGAAGTTACAATTTTAGGAAGAATAAGATTCAAGTTCCATTTAAAAAGAGCAAAATTTAACACTCAACCTATTGTTCCAAATTTAACAGCTTGTAAATAGTTTAACTTCGCGAACTGCCGTAAGAGAAAGCAGCTGACAAACCAAACAAATCGGGAGCAGCCACCCTAACCTTTCTCCTCTCCTTGCTCCATTTCAGTATCACTTTTCTCCACCACATCATCTCCATCGTCTGCGTTGTAGCGAGGGTCTATGACGAGTCCTTCAGTCTCTTCTAGCCTCTTCTCTGCCTGCAATTTAACAATCATATAAGCTAAAAAGATAAAGAAGAAAAAGAGTTCTCATACATGAGTAACAATGCTCTCGAATTTAGGCTTGCTGGCGTTCTGAATTCTCTCCTCTTCATGATCAGCTTCGTTTCATCCTCCGCTATCTTCGCAACATATTTCTGAAAACAGAAATCTATTCAACAATGAAAGAACAAGGCAATAAATCACTTCGTCGTTCGTGTGCGTTCTAGGCCGCGCTCATACTTTGCGACTACGGCGATTAAGAAGACTGCGCGACGAGGAAAGTATAGGTATCGATTGGCGACTGCGGAGACTGAGCGAACTGACAGACTCTCCCAAAACACTGCCGCTGAGTCTCTCAAACCGCCGGATAGCTCAATCCGCGCAGTCGCCAGATATACGTAAACAAAATCTGAACGCGGCCCTAGGGAGGAGGCATATACTAGTTCGCCAGTTTCTTAAGCTTAATGAGAACAGTGTATTCTTGTGAAGCTGTAAAACAGAACACGCTCCTCTAAGCCGCTTCGGTGGGACATCTAGTAAAGTTACGAAATGGTACAAGCTACACTTACTAGGGAGGTCGTTCAGGACGTGGAGCGCTTTTTGAAAACGGTTTTTTCGCATGATGTGGGGTCACGTGCATGGAGTACCAAACTGGTGTTCATTTTTCCTGAACGCCTCTGGGAATGCCAAAAATGGAGTGAAAAAAAAGTCCATGGAAACCGACTGTTATTGAGCCTGAATGGGCTCTAAATCACTCGCAACTTCGGCCAGTTGCTGCCTATAGGGTCCTTATAAAGGTTGTACTGGTATCGATGAGAAAAGTGGTCGTCAATGTGGGTCGCTACTTTGTGCAGCGTAGTTAAGAGCGAGGCCTAATCTCGAAATTGGGCTCTTAAGCATCGAATGTTGGTGGCTGTGCCAACTGATCGGATGGCCTTAGTTTGGATAGTGGAGGATGTCCGCATAGCAGGCATAGTGGGGGATGGGGGAATTGATGGTTCGACTCCCCTCGTTACCCGTCCTTTGACTTTTTATTTACCGTTTGTCGCTTCATATACGTCTGTTAATTGAAAATTTACTCGGATTATTCTGCCTTATTTATAGGCATTACGCTAAATAGTTATAGCCCGTAGTCGGTGCTATTCAGCAATTTCGATTTCACATACCATTAAGCATGAACTTGTCTGAAAGCTGAGCTTATGTTTAATTTCTGGTTGGGCCCTGGATTCTCATGACTATGCTATTTACATTTCACTCTATGTGCATTTATTCCAATTGTGGATCAAGTTTTTTCCCACTGGTAAGTCGCTTATGTACATTGTTGAGGACTTGCAGGGCGATCTGACTCTCAGATTTGGATTGGACGTCATTAATAAGTTGTCAGTAATCGTTGACCAGGCATCGATTTACCCCCTAAGGCATAACTTCAGCCAAAAAATTTTTTGGCTTTTTTGAGTCTGTGCATTGGGTTATGCTCAAGAGTCACTTTGTTGAAGTCGTACTTTTGCTGGTTATCGAAACCCTCATTCAGTGGTACGGGAAAAAAAACTAGCAACAACCATAAACGCCATCGAAAAAAGAACAAAATAGTCATCATTCCTCCAGGTGCATTTGATGAAGAAATCGGATGAGTCTCTCCTCTTGGTAGGGGAGGACGACATCTTCGTTGAGCGAGAAGTCGTGGGGGTCGACAAATGTCCAGGATGGTTTTTCACTTGTTCTGCGGCCACCCATGCCCATGCCAAGTATGAATGGACCTTATGAGCACCAAATCCGCGATGCGGCTGCCCGGCGGCCCACCACGTCATCGCAGCTCCAAAGTTGTGGGTCTCCGGTCATCACCGACGACCAAATGGTCGGTCTATCACAACTCAAAAAAGTCAAAAAATTTTTTGGCCGAAAGTTTGCCTATAGGGGTAATCGATGGTCCTGATCACGATTCTGACACTTATTCTTGACATCAACCCAATCTGGCGTCAGAATGGCCCTGCAAGTCCCTCAAACGAATGTACATAACGACTCCAGTGGGAGAAAGACTTGGCTCCAAATTGGGGACTACGTGCCACAAGTAGGACCCCCATTGGCGACTTTCTCATCGATACCAGTACCTTTATAAGGACCCTATAGGCAGCAACTGGCCGAAGTTGCGAGTGATTTAGAGCCCATTCAGGCTCAAAAACAGTCGGTTTCCATGGACTTCTTTTTCACTCCATTTTTGGCATTCCCAGAGGCGTTCAGGAAAAATGAACACCAGTTTGGTACTCCATGCACGTAACCCCACATCATGCAAAAAACCGTTTTCAAAAAGCGCTCCACGTCCTGAACGACCTCCCTAGTTAGTAAGGCTAGCCTGCGTTTACGCGGAGTACTAAGCCGGTTTCAGTAAGGTAACAAGGCTGAGCCATAAACAATTTTCGTAAGATCCACAGGGGAGTTTCGTGTCGGTCCGACCAGATGAGTTGTATAAATATGCCTAAGTCGACCCTGCGCCGATGAACACGAATAAAATTGAAAAGGTTTAATGAAATTAATCCAAATACCTGGTAATCGTCAGCCTTTGGATTATAGGATGCACCTGCATCAGGGACCGCTACGGCATCCAGTAAGCTAGGTTTGAATCGACATGTAGAAGGCATATTCGGAAGCTTCTTCTTCGTGTATCTCAGTAGATGTTCTCCAGCTTCTTTGAATTCGATATCAACTTTTGGCACAAAATCTAAATTTACGTAGGAAATATTACTTGCAAAATTATAATTATCGTGGTTACACCTGCCTTTCTCCCATAAATCGTACGTCTGTTTTTGTTGAGGTGCCTTCACCTCCTCGTTCCGCTTCACTTGTTTCTTCAGTTTTGGCTGCTTTTTCGTCGGGAATTTAGGTGCAGGTAATGCTTGCTTCTCCTCACTGAAAGCATCGAAAATGCAGCGTTGAAAAGTATTTGGGCACTGTTCGGCTTAGGGTGGGGTGTTTTGCACCTCTGCTAGTTTCATTTACAGGTCCCTGTTGAATTACACGTCTGACCTTGGCAAGACCCGTGGACTTTCGTCAAAATGAGCTCTAGCTATTGCACAGCTTTACAGGAATTCTTAGGTCTCCACAGGTGGCACTGACAGTGATTGATGGGAACCAGTTGAATGCCCCTACCAAGCCGAATGCGCACCTATACTATGGTTACAATAGTTATGGAATTTGTTAATAATACGTTCACATCCCGAATCGGCTACCGCCACCGCCTTCCACCCCCTGGGAACAGCAAATCCTTATCAGATTCGCCTGGGAGGATGAGACATTCATCGGCTGGCTCCCGCAAGTATGCCACTACGATTCTGAGTGGAAGTAGAATGCGTGCCGCATCCCACAAAGGGATTGATCAACGGCGAAGACTTTCATCCTTTTTTATTATCATTTTGGGCACATTATAAAGAAATATTGGCGCAGCTCGCAGGGAGCTGGAAGGAGCATTCTACTGGTTCCCCTCGAACACTGCGGCGATACCTCCTAGGGAGACTGCCAATTCCTGTAAATTATGCAGTGTTTACACTTGACGAAAGTGTGCACTTTCTCCGAGATGAAGCGTATATTTGGACAAGAATTAGTAAAAGAAATTAGAGAAAAAGCAAAAAGTGCCTCAAAGCCGAAAAGCGCTGTTTTTACAGTAAATATGAACTTCTTAACACAAAATAGAACGATAAGTGTAGTAGTAGCAGTAGCTCTTACCTAATACTACGAGATATTTTGTCCAAAGCGGCTTGCTGTCGCCTGGTATACTGCTTAGGTTCATTTGGCGTACGATCAATAGCGAAAAGTTCGTCATCCTTCTTGTGTGCTACCGATCCAGACGTTTTACCATCTGAGGAAATTATTATGTAAACACATGTGTCACTTAAATAAGATAAACAGTCGGCACAGTTTGCCGAAGGGTGGGGCATTTTGCACTTTCGCTGCTTCACTAGTTCTGGTTTACAAGTCTCACTCTGGTGAAACCTGTGAACTCTTGTGAAGCTGGAGCAAGCTCGTCAAGCCATCATGGTAAAACCTGTCAACTCGAGAAGAGGCTGTTAGATGGGTCGACACAGATACTATTCGATTCGGAAAGGTGGTTCACAGACTGTAACAATTAGCCCCAGTCGTCGAACAGCGCCGAACGAGTCACTCTCAGCAACGAGCCAACGAAATACTTATCAAGAAAACTATTTAGAGCTCTACGCGGGCGCAGTTTGCGACGGGGGGGGGCATTTTGCACTTTCACTGCTTCACTACTTCCGGTTTACAAGTCTCACTCTGGTGAAACTTGTGAACTCTTGTGAAGCTGGAGCAAGCTCGTCTAGCCACCATGGTAAAACGTGTCAACTCAAGAAAGGGCTATCTAGATGGATCGGATCATCGATGGGAAGCAAAATGACCCCCCTCCCGTCGCCAAACTGCGCCCTCTACATTGAACGATAAAAGTGCTATTCAAAGGCACACTTCATTTGATGCTCAGACGCTTCCTTCGGAGAAAATAGTCCTTTTCGCGAGCATGGAGGATGCACCACTTTTACGGCTCGAAAATACCTGAGGGAAGTGCGAGGCTACGTCCCTGCCCACCAGTCGCGGCCACGATCATTTGTAACTACTACCTTATGTTTCACTACTAACTATTGTTCCACGGCTGTTCCATAACCAATGGTGAGAGTGAGGTGATGCGGTGAGAAAGAGCTGAGACAGCTCGGAAGAACTCGTCCGGCCACACCCCCTCTTCGCCTGGTGCACGCACAAGCGCGGCTCAGCATGGGGTTCTAAATGGTTCGTTTTTGAGCGAACTTTTAGTGCTTTTTCATCAACTTTGTGTTACGTGCCCTCTTGGAGTTAGTATATGAGTCAAACAAATAACCTTATTTTATGACGAGGCATGCCTTTAACTAAGCGCACGGTCTCAGCTAAATATTGGCGACTGCGCGTTTTTTTCCCTTACTTTTTGAAAGTTACGTCTTAATGTCAGGAGGCCTCTACATCAAACCAAAGCAAAGTTAAATATTCAAAAGAGCCACGTAGTAACAGACAAATATTACGCGGAGATTGTGTGCTATGCCTTATACTTCCCAGGTGCTCTTACTTTCATTTTCGGTTGTCTTTGAACTTGAATAGCAAAAATTGCGGCAGTAGGACTACTGGCTGTACACAAAAAGATGCTGAAACCCATAAAGGAAAAAAACTCACGCAACAGCCTCTCAACATCGCCCACATCAGTCCCCTTTCGCCAGTATTTCTTTTTGTGACGAGATGTACGACTCGCAGCATTCTTAGTCTTT